GCGGAGGTGGGGGAAGGCTGAGCGGGTCACGGCTTGGATGTGGGGCAGAAAGGACAGCTGCGGGTCAAACAAGATGCCATGGTTCATTGTGGTGGAGTGCGCATCCATGATGGTGGTGCTATCAGCACCTGAGATGTGAAGGATCAAACAAGATACTAAGGTCCCATACAGAGTTGATCCCATATTCATATGTGTATACACACTGTAATACATGCGATTTTGGAACAACCTATACCCCAAGCCCTTGATTATCAGTGTCCCTTTTATAATGAAGCTTCTCTTCAGGAGGCTATTGGAAGATGATGCATGATAAAGACTGAAATACAATGACTTCAATGAAAGCTCTCTTGATCTCGGATCAGCAGAACTGAAACCGAAGGAAATCTTTTCTTCGTACATCAAATATCTATATTTTGTTAAATTGAACTTCAGTTTTATTTTTTTAACAGAAACAGAATTCCGTAATCTAGTTAACAAACAAATCCTGTGCTTTGATTAAAATGTCGCGGTTCACGGTCTCTATATTTAATTAGCAGGAAAGACATTCATTACCTTAAACACTCAGGCCTCTATTTTAATGAAGCACTTTGATTTATTATACGAACCTTATTTTTCCAGCAGAAGTGCTCTCTATTTGCAAATCAAATAAATTGCAGGCCTAGTGATAAAAACATGTATTTTTCGACTACCAACTAATTTCTGTGACCGTTAATTGTTTGTTTGTTTTTGTTTAATTTTGCTGTCAATCACAGTCTCCTACCTGATAGCTCACCACATCAGCTGTCACTCTTCAATGAAATTCCTGAAATCAGAATGTTGACTGTGAGATTTTTTTTGGTGCGCTTGTTTACAATAAGCCTTGCGTTTGACGGAACACTTTATTGCCAAAACATCTTCAGGGGATTTACTGTACAGTGACTGAGCACTGCGGTACATGCCACCAGCTGTTCAACAGCAGCCACCCTGACTGCCCAATCCCCCATTTCCACTGAAAGGTCCACTAGCCCCAGTCCCTGGGAGAGAACCTTTCTTCACTCATCCACGTTCCCACCCTTCATGCCAATCTTCCTCCTCCCCCTTGTCCACGATCAACGTCAAGCTAACTGATTTACAGTTGCCAGTCTCATCCTGTTGGAATGATCCATTTTATCTGGCGGACTGCTAGCCAGGACATTGGGAGAAACTTCCTTCAATTTTCGAACAGTGCCATGGGATCTTTAGCAGCCACCTGTATACTGTATAGTGTCCAGATAGACGTTGAAGACACTGCTCCACGACGGTTGCTTTGATCTTTTACCTGTGAAGGTGAATTACTTTTCCAAAACCGCCCCCTGCATCATCTTAGCTTCAGGAATTTTATACGCACAGAAATATAATATATGTAATTGTATAATTACCTTGCTGTTCAAAATCAGAATGAGACTGGCAATTGCAGACTAGTTAGCTTGACAATTGATTGTGGGGGACGTACTTGAGGACAACATACGGGATGTTATCGATGCTCCTGCGAAGAACAGGGAGATTATAGGGAGCAGTCAGCATGGATTTAGGAGCAAGAGATCATCCCTCATAACTCTACTGAAACTAATATGAGACAACAACTAAGCTAGTGAATCAAAGTTATCCTGTGGATTTCAGGAAAGCATTTAATAAAATTCCTTATGTGAGATTGTTTTAAAAAGAAGATATGCCAAATTAACAGAGATAGACTGAAGGGGTGGGGATGGTGGGCCGATTAAGGTCAAGAGAGATGAACATGCCTACGGTTAACTTCCCTTTTTGTCCAACTTGGCCACAAACTGCACCACTCCACGACACTACCCCATGTGAAGGGTATATAAATACAAGTTATTCTGCTGTTGTTATGAGGAACCAACTCACAGCAAAAAGATGAAGTGTTGGGTTTACTCCTTCAAAACAGAATTAAGAATCGGGTTGAAAAAGGGATTGAAGAGAGATTCAGTTCACCAATTGCTGAAAGTGCCACATCATAAGACAATGTAGTGCTTAGTTTATTATGCTGGAAGCAATTTGTTCACTATTGTGGCAATAATGTGAATACTTGAGTGAAGCCTGATTTAAAACAACCTACTACAATAGCAAATTGTCTCGGGGCTGAGCAGAGCTTCGTTCTTGTGCACATTAAAAATCCCCTGACTATGTTCATAAAAGGAAACACATTTGTCCCAATGTCCCGGACAACAAATCTCCAACTAATTGATCATTCGCTGCACAGTTATTTATGAAATGTTCATCTATGCAAATAGCTGGTATGTTTAACTCACCAGTCTTAACAGGGATTATTTATGAAGCACTTTTAGACATTTAGACTGGAAGAAGGCCTATGAAAGGAAAGTTCTTTGTTTCGCATGAAAGCCTCTCCAATCGATTTCCTTGCAAAGGTTTTTGGTTGCCAGCCTCCAGTGTAAATGTCTTCATGATCGCATGTCTCAAATCTGATCCACATTGCATTGTTTGTGGTGATTGTAATATGTAAGAGTGCAGTGGAATCCATTGATGCATTTGCAAAAGGAGATCCTTAAAGTACAAGTCTGATTCAGATCATAAGCCTAACCATAAGCTCACTTGGATCATTCTGTCTAGGCTTATACATTGCATATGTAGAAAGACAGAGGCATTGGAAAGAGCTTGAAGTAGAGAAATGAGGTTGTGGTGAGATCTTAAAACTATGAACAATGAAGAACAGATAAACGCTGCTTCTGATCTTAACAGAATTGAAAATCAGTGGGACGTGCTTGTCTTTTTACAATTATGAGGGAAACTTATTTAATTCTTTCTACTCAAAAGCAGAGACCCAGTGGATTTGATTGCAAACTAATATAAACTAGAATCATTGAGACGTTGTACTGACACAGTGGCTGCCTTGTTGGAGGCTCTATTCTCCGGAGGAGACGTTTAATCGAGGTCCTGTCTGCTTGCTCAAGTGCTTGTCAAAGATCCGATGTCGCTGTACAAAAAGAGAAGGGAGTTTCTCCTGGTGTCCTGGCCAAACAATTCCCCAGATCAAATTAGTCATTCATGTCGTGGCTGTTTTATAGGAAATTGCTGTGCGCGAATTGGCTGCAACATTCATCTACAAGTACACAATCGCTGCACTTCACAGTAAATTCTGTGAAGGGCTTTGAAACGTTTTGACAGCAAGGACGATGATTATTATTTTTGTTATTTTTATTATTACGGCATTATTCTTATCGACCGAAACCCAAGTGTAATTTTCGCATTTCAAGTGCTGCAACAAGTTTACTTTGCCAAGTGTAATTGTTCCTGTATGTGAGGACCATCAGCAAGTTTATTCATTCCTAACCCTTGACGAATGAAATTGCAGAGAGATTCTCCGGTGATGCTGGTCCACTATCTACTAGAAAAATTGACCATTCATCTCATGAATGTTTGTGACACATTACTGGTGCAAAAGGCGGCTGCATTTATCGACTTAAACGATCGGTTGTTAGTAATTACTTGTACAGAGCTTTTAAGATGTTTCCCTGAGATAAGTTGTTATAAAATGCCGGTTCTTTCTTTGCGCTAAAAGGTGTGTTTTAACCTTAGCAACTTTAAATAAATAAAAAAATGACTTGTATTTGGAAATGATGTGTCAGCTCAGTAGCACTCTCACCCCTTGAATTAGAAGGTCGTGCAGTTCAAGCCCCAATCTCGGCTGATAGTCAAGTCCTGTGCTGGCTGAGCACTGCGTTGATGGAGGTGCTATCTGTCAGATGAGACATTATAAACCAAGGGCTTGTCGGCTTTGTTCAGGTGAACGTTAGAAAGACCCCACGGGACTATTCAAAAAGAAAGAGAGAAATGACTTTCTCCACTATCTTAGCCAAGAATCCTCCAGATAAAAATTGGTCATTCACGTCATTCACGACTGTTTGTGGGAAATTACTCTGCGCTTAGTGGCCGCTTCATTCACCTAAAAATACACAGTCGCTCCATTTACAATAAATCCTGTGTAGCCCGTTGAGACATTTTGGTTGCTTGATAAGTCACCATATTAAAAGGCACGCCTGATTATAATATTTTCATTCTTTTAACGATAGCACTGTAGGTGCACATGAACTGAACTTGCAGGTAGTGCATTATTATCTTCCATAATCATCAGTATGAGATGACCTTCCTATTAAAGTTCCTCAGTTGTATCTTCTAGCATTTCTCCTCAAAAGCTTCAACTGCAATCTAACTCTGAAATCAGTTGCTTAGCCCTTTGGCTCGACATAGCCTTTTCCCATTGTGGTTTGATAATAATAATAATAATCCTTGCATTTGATATAGCGCTTTTCACGTCGGAAGGACGTCCCAAAGCGCTTCACAGAACACACTGTAAAGTGAATTGACTGTAAATTTGTGGGCGAAGTTTGATGATTCAGTAATTGATAATTGGTAACGACGAAAGTACCTTTCACAGTTGAAATGCTTCAGATTTGGTTCAAAAATTAAAACCAAAGTACGGCATCATTGCAATGACTTGCTGGAGATATAACAATAATAATAATAATAGTAATCCGTGCATTTGATATAATACCTTTTCACGTTGTTGAAACTTCTCAAAGCGCTTCACAGAATGTATTGTAAAGCAGATTGACTGTGCATTTTGTAAGCGAAACACGGCAGCCAATTGCGCTCAGCAGTGTCCCGCAAACAGTCGTGGATTGAGCGAGCAATTTTTTGGGGGGGATTATTACCCCTGGGAAGCGAACCAACAATTGATTATCAACCGGGGTTCCCGCTTGCTGCTAGGTAAAGGGAGGCGTGTGGATTAAGGAAACCTCCCTACGGTTTTACCCTGCCCGTGAATCACACCCTGCTCCTCTTGCTTTGCGAGGCGAGTGCACCGCCCGCTATGCTACAGATACTCCTTTGCGTCATCAGTCTCCAGGTCATGTAATACCTTTCCATTTGGTTGGTTGCATCATGGTGCCTAATAATAAACAGTGGATGATCATATGTGTCATGCAAACACTTCTTTGCTTCAACAGGTGCGATTTTTGATGAATCTGCCAAGAAGGATGACGAAGTGTTTCGATTGGCTGTATCAGACCTTAACTTGAACGAGGAAATCCTGCAGACGGAGAAAATCACCTTTTCCGTGACATTTGTGGACGGAAACAACCCTTTCCAGGCTGTGCAGGAAGGTAAGATAAATCCCAAACGGACACTTCCACTTACTTCCACTCCAGCTTTTGTCCTGTCATCCCGGGTAACATTTGGATACGAGGAGCAAATGGTCCATTTGAAACTTTCTCCCTTAAGCTATGCCGGATCGTGGGTTTACTGATGGACCAGAAATGGGATGATGTTCCACATTAGTTGAATGGGTGAGAAGGTGCAAAGCTTCGCTCAGGTATTGAAATGGTTTGGAAAAAAAAACACAATAGTCCACGTGTTCTTTTTTAAAAAGGTTTTTTTTGTGCTGGAAGTTAGAGTTGAAAATATGTAGGATTTAAAGCTAGGATGTACTGGATGACATGATGCTTCAGAATTCACGGAGGAATCTTTAGCCCACGGTTCTTGGGATTCACTTGCCCTTAAACTGTGCGCGATAGGGGCTACGCGTTTTATTGTACTATTTGTGGTCTGTAATTAATTGTTAATTAATAACAATTAATTCATTGTGTGGTTTAACTGGAATACAGTGAGAAATCTACTCAACATCTCGTGTAAGTCTCATTCGTGGAGTTAAGTTAGCGACTCCTAAAGCTACCCATGATGGAGTTGCCTCTGGTAAGGTAAGAGTGAAATGAATACGAATGGCAATACAGACATATATAAATTGTACAGCAGTGACACTTGCCTTTGAAGGCGTTCATCCTGTATGCCTGCTATGTGCGATGGCGGCTCAGGTTTTGCAGGTGTTGAGGGGGATGATAGGCCATTAGTGGCCCCACCTATCCCCCTGTTGTGCTCTGCTCTGCTTTCTCTTCTCATAGAACACTTGAAACGGGAGCCGTACGTACACCTAAAGGATCCCGGTAGGGGCTGGCGGTGGTGGGGGGAGCAGTGGGTGGGTGGAAGATTTCCTTCCCTCCACCCCCTGCCTATTAACTCCGCCACTGATTATGTTTCGGACGTGAAGAATATCGGAAAATTAGCCCGTGTTTCCATTGTGTAATAAAAATCCAAATCCTCGGTGCTTTACACAGTCAAAATAAAAAAGAAAGCAAGGCTTTGTCCCAGCTTCCACCTGACTGAAGTGTTTCACCGTGGGTGGCAGAGCTGCTGTTTGCAATTCTGCAACCAGTGATCATCAGTCCACAATCCTGTAATTCAATCTGAAGGTCATCTTTTCCAGCGCACAACTGCTGCATTGTTTGTTAGCAATTAACTTCTGCACTAACTGGTCAGACTTCTTAGATGCCCACCTTGCACGCCTTTTGTTAAACATTCACCTGTTTTGGGGCACGTTCTGTTTTGGGGGGAAGGGGTTAAGGGGTGAGAGTGTGCGTATGCGTGTGCGCGTGTCCCAAGATTTCACACGCAGCGTAGGTTTTTTTGACTCGAGATGGGTATTCTACGCAACCTGGAGCCCCAGCTACAAGATTGGGTGTTTGATGCAACGCCGTTACGTTTTGTTGCGCATTTCAGAGTCGCAAACGTATTTAACACAGGTGCCGTTATGGGTGAAAACAGCACACCCTTTCTTTCAGCTGTGACCCAACTCCTACAGTGGCGGCCTAGGATTCAGAAAAGCATGTTTTGAGATTGCTTTTGTACGCACAGTATTTATAACTCCTCCTCAGAATGAAGCTAGATGTTTTGGGTACCCATAGATATTTTGTGTTTTTTTTAAAAAAAAGACTAATCACTGATCAAGATGAAAACAAGCAGAGTTGAATCTGCTTATCACCAGCGTTTCCGAATTGGGATTGGGGAGAGCACTGCCCCTTTGAACTTTTGTGCGTGCATCACATTAGCTGTGAAGGTTGACTGATAGCGCGCAAACACTGTGGTATTAGGGATACTATCCTTGGGACTTTTTCGTTCAGAAATGCGTCTCGAACGATGCAGTGCTCCATTGGAGATGTTACAGCGGTTACCGTTGTTCTTAATGTTTCATTTTATGAAGTAGAGTATAACGACAGCTTCTTATTGAATACTGTGGAAATTAACCCAGCGTGTGCCCTGAGATTTTTACGTTAGAGTCCTATTGCCGTGAATGCCTTGGGACATATCTGCAGTGACCCAATGATCCCAACGCACCCGCCACTAGCCCACTGCACTTCCTAGTTCCCAGAAATAACCAAGAGTAAATAGTATTTTAAATATTAGGCATTGACTGCTTCCAATTCACTTTTTCTTGGAAGGGGGTGAGTTTTGCTGATACGGTGCTTTAATATAGAAAGAAAATTGCTTCGAGAAGCAGCAACATTCCTTGTTTCTGTCATATTTTGTTGGCGTTTTCTATTTTCTATTAGGCCAATTGGTTCTGTGTCATGTTGATGTGATACTTCACTTGGGATAAGCACAAACTCTGCAGTATTACTGCAGTTAAAGGAACACGATCTGAATTAACAGAAGTAATTCCTCAGAGGATAGAGTTCAAAATCCTTGCCTTCGCCTTCAAGGCCCTCCACGGCGTTGCCCCTTCCTACCTCAGTGACCTGCTAACCCCTTATCAACCTGTCCACTCTCTACGCTCAGCCGGCTCGGGCTTGCTCCACGTCCCCAGCCCGCCTCCCCATCATCGGTGGTCAGGCATTCAGCCTCTCTGACCCTCCCCCACCCTTTGGAACTCCATCGCACATTCCCTTCGCCTCGCTCACTCCCTCCCTCGCCTCCTTCAGACTCATCTCAAGACCCTCCTCTTTGACCACGCCTTTGGCCATCCTCTTTCCCTCCCTGTCCTCCACGAACCCTTACCCCAATCCCACCCCCCCCCCACCCCAGTTCGGGTCCAAATCCCTGACTGTCTTGCGTCTTGGGACATGGTCCTGACATGAAAGACGCTATACAGATGTAATTTTGTATTGTATTTGTATTGTAAGTATTAAGGGACCACCGTGAGGAGGAAATCTTGGACTGCAGCAGCTTTTCACCAGATGGAAAATGCAGCTGAAGTTTAATACATACAGAAGTGGTTCACTGGCGAGCAATGATCATGACCAGATGGCCTAGTTCATAGTATTTCTCATAAGGAAACGTGTGATTCTCACGTTTCTTAAAAAAAAATAACATGCCGAAGGATTTACGTTTCAGAAATTTAATACAGTAATTACACTTTCCTTAGTAAAAAAAATTGGTTAAGAAATGCTGCAAATTAAGACCTGACTCACACTGACACTTCACCAATATTTTTGTTGAAAAGTACCTATTTAGTGGAGTATTGCACGTGCGCTTAATTCCACGTACGTAGGCAAGTAGGCATCCACAGTGCGTAAGCAGCGATTGATATGAAACTCTGCAAATAACTATTGCGCTCTGTTGTTGACACAATACAAAGCTGCCTTCAGCTTAACACAACAGGTAGTATCTGTGAAAGAGCTCTATTTGTACCAGCAAAGCGCTGCTCAGTGGCTTATCAGCACAACAGAGATATTAGGAGCGCAATTGATTAGAGAAAAGAGCAAGACCGATTGCAAGCCCACGTCAGTGGATTCAGTTTATTTTTTGGAGTCATCAAAGCTGATCTGTCAAAGAGATATGAATGATCTGTCTGTGCTTACTGATCACACTAAGAATTTGAATGTGTTGCAAATTTCAGTGGAACACTTGGAAAGCAATGCAATTTATCTCAGCTGTTACAGGTTCTGCTGTTTTCCCAAGAGATGAGAAAGAAAGTCAATTTATTATCATACTTATTAATTGAAAAGGATACCCCAAAATAGGGGAGGGTGGGGTGGAGGTGAGGGAGGGGGGACTAAACTAGACATTTGTGAACAGCAGCATCCCACAAAGAGTCATGGTGCGCGTGACCAATTTTATTTGGGGTATTCTTGGCTCGGGTACTGGGGGGAAACTCCTTCCTCTTCGAATTGTGCCATGGGATCTTTACTGTCCACCTGAACAAGCAAGACAGGACCTTAGTTTAATGTCTCATTCAAAGGACAAGAAATCCATGAAGATGCCTGAATAATAGTTGACTACTTCATCTGAGGAGAAACGCTAAGTGAGTGATTCCGGACTGAACAGGATTTTAACAGGAGAATTTCTCTTCTCTTTGGGGGTGGGTGTGGGGGGGGTGGGGGGGGGGAGAAAGCATAGCTAATCTGAGCTGAAGTTTAGTACAATTAGGTGGGGGTTCCTGTGGGTCAGTCGGTGCCCCTGTAAGAATTCTGCATTGCCTTTTAATTTCTGAGGGGAAAGAAACTCTTGTTTGATTTTTGCCCAACATAGTGGATTCATCAATGTGAGCTCTCTTCTGCTCTGCGCCGCTCTAACTTTGGAAACTCTTTTGCCGTGCATCGTAAATAACTAATGCTCCGTTAAATGATAAATAATATTACATTATTAATATTAAATTGTATGTCTAAAATTACATTATAAGTGCAGAGCGATAAATTCGCTAAACGCGGTGAATGCAACAAATAGCCTTGGGCCCACGTCAATAAATTCACTTGATCGAGCAGCGGTGCTTTGTTTGCCTGTGGTATTTTAAAATGAATTTGACGTGGAATGAGCGATGGTGCCTTTGCACTCTCTGGAGCAATGCTGTTCAGGCACAGAAAGCTGCAAAGCATCCTTGCTCTCAGAGTGCAATTCCGACTGTATTTTGACGTAGTCTACAATCGTTCCCAACACGCTGTCAAAGCGAACTTGACTTTGATTCCAAAATCTTAGTGCGGGCCCCAGCGAAAAAACTAAATGGAAACAAAAAATACCTCTTCGCACTGGACTGCCAACTACAATCACACGTTGTATGTCCGAATTCAATTTTACTCTACCTTTAGAGATTGGAGCTTTGAAATAGAAAGCCTATTATTTTCGGGAAGCATTTCATCTCCAGTGTTTTTGTCAGAAAACAAATTAGCCGATCTTTGATAATGGTATTAACATCCTCAAGTTTCAGCTGCATCAGTCAGTTTCAATTGGCCTCTTGTGTGAGAGAAAGAGAGGCAGACGGACGAGAGAATGGCTTGCCTTATTTAACGGGAAACTTACTGTTGGAGCCGCATTTTGAAAATGGGGAATTTTTATA